GGGATTTTTCTCTGGTATTCTGACAGTAAGTAGAGCTAGCCCACGTCTAGCTGTGCTCTTGTGCAAATAGGCTGAAAGCCTTTGGATTGCAGTGCAGTGTCAAGACGTGAAAAATTTCTCCATCCCTAGTCCTTCCATTGATTTTAATGTGAGGACTTTTATCAAGCTGAGAGCACTGGCTTTAATGTCACAGTAAGAGTTAGATTAATGATTTGGTCCGAGGGACAAGTTTAAACTGAGATTTGAGAATGAATGGTCACAAAAATGTATTTAATTTTGTGCAAGAAATGGTGTGAAACCACAGACCAATGAAAAATAGTGGTAGAAGTGAGCATGAGTTTAAGAGAGCACGACCCTTTGAAGAATTGGTGTGTGTAATGATTAGGGTTCCTTAGAAAGAAAAAGACTACAGAAAATGCAACTAATGTTTACTTACATCAGTCAAACTAGGAGCTAATTTAGTCAAGTAATAAGTTACAATGCTCAGTGCAGCTTCTACAAGGAAAAAAGTCATGAGGCATAGAGCTAGCAACCTAAAGAGCATGATGAATGTTCTAAGTACTATTATCAAGTTAAGCTTCCTGACTATGGGTGAGTGATTCTTTTACTTTTATTATTCTTACTTCTTTCCTTTTTAAACCTTTGATCATTATACATCATTTGGCTTGTAAAGAGAATTTACCAACATGAAATACATGGATGACTGAGGTTGTGATAAGGCTAAAACTGTAGCTGTATCTGGCATAAACTAAGTGGTTGAGTTGATAGAGTGCAGAGCCTCTCTGCTTCTTCTTTCTGACTTCAGGTCCATTCTCTGTGTTGAACTACTCTGTCAAGCAGAGATTCACATGAACTCAGGAAGAAAATCTGGTTCACAAAAGTCAGAGCTGAGTGCATCTAATTTGACCAAGAGCAGTCAGGGAAGTCGCTTTCTGTTTCTTAATGATTGTGTTATATGGCATAGTTGACATACAAAAATAAGTTAAACAATATTTATTTAATGAATTTGTCCTGCAATGGAACAACTAAATGTAAAATAGTTACTAATTATATAAATGTTTAGACAAGGACTAGATTCTACTTGGTTAAGAAAACTACAGTGAAGATTCTGTGTTGGATATAAGGTTATTTCTCCATTAACATAGAGATAATGTTAATAGCAAATGAAATTTACTCCAGATGTCAAACTACAATAGGCATTTTTCTTTACATTTTCACAACCTTGAAATGTATCATTAGTCCCATTTTATACATCAGGGAATTGTAGGATTCTAGAGAAATATCAACTTGTTCAAGATGACGCTGTCAATAAAAAGTAAATACAAAGATTCCCAGTTGTGTAGATTTGCATATCTACATTTTTAAACCATTACACATTGCTGCTTTAAAAGAGCCTATGCCTGTGAAATATTCTGTTTCAAAGAATGCTTAAAAGGAAGCATGAGGTCTGGTGTACATTTTTGCCTGAATGTTAGGTAGAGGTCCAGGGAGTACAACTTACGTTGATAAGGGTCACTTATTCGGCCAAGCCCAAACTTTCACCTTGCCATTTCTCCTTAGGAAAATCACATCCCAGCTAAAATTGATCTGTGACTCAGATCGTTGCCATCTCCTCTCTCTTTTTTTTTTGGAGAGATTTTCGCTATAGGGCACGTGCGCTCGCCAGACAGACAAAGAGAGACATAGAGGCAGTAAGCGAGAAATCACTCCCCAGGGGGTATGGTCACGCCGCAGTCTCTTCTCCTCCATTCTCCTCTTGGGATCTTGGGCATGCAAGCACACGTGCCCGGTGTGAGTTTTAAGCCACCGGGTCCGGGACGCAAACCGCAGTCAACTATGTGGGAGTTCAGCGACATAGCCATTACGCTAACTGCGGGTTCCACCATGTCCTCTTTTTCTCACAGAGTAGTGAGTTTAAGACCTGCTATACACACCCCTGTTATGAGCCACATGCGTCCCTTTTTTCTCTGAGAGTCATGTGGTTTACTTTTTCTCACAGAGTAGTGAGTTTAAGACCTGCTATACACACCCCTGTTATGCATCCCTTTTTTCTCTGAGAGTCATGTGGTTTATGGGCTCTGAAATGTGATTAGAATAATTGGCATTGCCATCACACTCCTGTCCTGTCAGTCTGTAAGGACAGCAACAAATGGTTGGTCTTATTCACCCTCATAATGGACTTCTTGGTATTATTTATATCTATTTATATTGTGAGGGAGGAACTTCTCCATGGCCTATAAATAGAGAAATCTCACTCTGAATTTATTTTTCCTATAACCATATGCACAGAATAGTTGGTCCATTAAGAATTAGGAGAGTTTACCTCTCTTCCCACCTCACATGCTATCCCAGAGTAATAGACTAGTAACAAAGAGTTAGTTACTCTTTGGTAACTGTTTTCCAGCTCCCTAAATTTTCTTGCTCATTTTGTACTGATCTTTACACTATCTCCAGCTTCAATGTTGAGGTAGTTATTTATGAGGTTCACATTAAATATCTGTGATTGGACAAATGGATATGAATATCTGGACAGTGAATTTTGTACCCACATTTTAAAAACTCCCATCTAAAATGATTTCTCAGCTTTTATTTTAAGGATTACCTCTCTATTTCTTCCCCTTACTACTATTCTGTGTAATTCCTTTTAACTTAAGTACTCCTTGCTATGAGCTGTGTCTCCTTATGGGCTTAGTGGCATGGCAAAGATGAAATAAATGAGAGAGATTATTCTGCCAGAAAGATCAACTACCAGTCTTAGCTTTGCCTCTTTAAAAGTCTTTTTCTTTCTAAATGTTTTAAAGATTTCTCTCTTAGATTTTGATTTTCTACAGTTTGATTTCCATGGGCTTAGATAAGGCTTTCTTTGTGTTTATTTTCATTGGAGTTCACTGAGCTTGAAATTATAAATTGAGTGCTTCTCATCACTTCAAAAATATTCTCAGTCATTGTCTCTTTAGATATTGCTTCTGCCTCCAGTCTTTACTTTCCTTACAGGATTCTAATTACATATAAGTTAGACTTTTAACCATTCCATATGTCTTCTATGTTCTGTTCTGTTCGTTCTGATAATTTTTCTTCATTCCATTTCAATATATTGATATGCCTTCAAATTTACTTTTTAAATAATTCCTGTTTCCATTTCAATAAATTCTTACTTTTAGACATTATATTATTCAGTTATAATGAGTACATTTGGTTCATCTTGTAGATCCTAGGCTGCTATCGAAATTCTGCATATTTTTCTCCACTTTAACCTTTTTTAACCATTCCAATCGTATTGCTTCTAAGTCTTTCTCAACTAACTTAAATATCTGTATCACCTGTGACCCTTATTTTTTTTCCTGTCAGTTTCTCATGCTTCAAAAACATGTCTTGATTCTTTTTATTTAATACTAGAAAACAGACGTTGTGTGTTGAAGTGTCGTAGAAGCTCCCGATGATATTTCACACCAGAGAGAACATAGGTTTTCAGCACTGACTATGCAGAAGACCTCATATTAGATCTTGTTCATGAGCAACTGTTTGTCTATTTTGTTTTCTTACCCTTACGTGGCTGTCTGCTTTTGTAAACCTGCTTGTTCTTCTCATGAGAAAATAGCTTGTGTTAGCCATACAGAAAACCACATCCATTCTGTACCTGTTGTCTTTGCCAACTAGCTCAATACCCTTTTGTTTAGCTGTTCCTTAGCAATGTAACTATCAATAGGGAACATGTCTTCAGAAAATTTTCAAAATATTTACCACAAAAATTTATAGAACTAAAAAGAGAGCTAGACAAAACCATATCACAGTAAAAATGTGTAAAAGTATACTGAAGCAAAACAATGAAATAACAAAATTCATGTGTTTTAAGTGTACAGTTCAACACACTTGACACGTCTATACAGCTGTGTAAACATCACCAAAATAAAAATATTAAAGAATTCCATCATCCCAAAAAGTCTCTTAATACTCAAGTCCTTTGAATTATTTCTTTACATTTCAGTCCGTTGCATCAACTCTATCCCCTTGTAACTGGCAACCTGGTTTTTATTACTGAAGATTAAATTTCTCTCTCTTAGAAAGTTGTACATATGGGATTATACAATACAAACTCTTTTGGGTATGTCTTCTTTTTTTTGTTGTTGTTGTTGTTGGAGAGGTTTTCGCTACAGGACACGTGCACTCGCCAGACAGACAGAGAGAGACATAGACAGAAAGCGAGAAATCACCCCCCAGAGAGGATGGTCACGCCGCAATCCCTTCTCCTCCAGTCTCCTCTCGGGATCTTGGGCACGGACGCACATGCGCCGGGCTTGAGTTTTAAGCCACCGGGTCCGGGATGCAAACCGTGGTCGACTACGTGGGAATCCAGCAACATAGCCATTATGCTAACTGCTGGTTCCCTGGGTATGTCTTCTTTTGATCAGCCTATGCTTTTTTTTTTTTTTTTTTTTGGAGAGGTTTTCGCTATAGGGCGCGTGTGCTCGCCAGACAGAGAGAGACATAGAGACAGCGAGAAATCACCCCCCAGAGGGGATGGTCATGCTGCAATCCCTTCTCCTCCATTCTCCTCTCGGGATCTTGGGCATGCATGCACACGCACCCGGCTTGAGGTTTAAGCTACTGGGTCCAGGATGCGAACCACGGTCGACTACGTGGGAGTTCAGCAACATAGCCATTATGCTAACTGTTGGTTCCCAATCAGCCTATGTTTTTGTGATTCATTTATATTGCAGTCCATTCTTTGTTACTGCTGAATGGTACTCATTGGTAGATGTTACAGTTTGTTCATAAATTTGCCTGTCAATGGACATTCAGGTTGATTCAAATTTTGAGCTATTAAAAATATAGTTATTGGAGCCAGCAAGTGGCATGGCGGTTAAGTCATTGGACACCCTCATGGCTGACAAAAGTTTGAGTCCTGGACCTGGCAGCTTACTTTCTTGTTTTCCTTTTCTCTCTCTTCCTCTCTCTCTCTGGTCAAGTTAAAAAAATAATAAAAACAAATGGAATTAAGTAAATAATTCTTTAAAAGTAACAGAACTGTTATGATTAATCTTGGATTTAAAAATTAAAAAAAAGATTAGTCCACAAGAAAAGATGAGTCATCACTGTTGCATCATCACAAATAAATTTCCCCAAACATGATGAACACACAGATTTCTCTTCAAAGTTAATAAATACCTTTTCTTTGAAATCAACAAGCACCACAGACAGAATGAGACTAAAGGACTAACCCAAAAGTGTGCTGGAAAAGGTTAGAATATTGTTTTAAAAGTAGAGCTAAGTAAAAAAAAAAAAAAAAAAGTTAATTTCAACATCTTGGGGAAAGGAAACTGGAAGGGTAAGAGTAAATGAAGCCTCCTATGGAATTTCATATGGAAGATGAGCATGCATGTGTGAAAATATCTGTGGATTAATGAAGAGTGGAAGCTACTGTGGTAATATTAAGGTAAAAAAATAATAACCAGGTATTAGGTCCAAATCAGAATCTATTCTTCTTGAAGGACAAGAAAAATAATGTCCAACTTCACCCACTAAACAGGACTTGCAGCTTGTTGTGTAGACTGGTGAGTCTACCTAACCTTTCTTAGGACTCTATAAAAACACTTGTACGAGTTTTCAAGTATGCCTGAAAAAGAGTGAATGGGGCATATCCTTTCTATTGAAGACATGTCAGGTACTTTTCAAGGTACTTTACAAATATTAACCTATAGGTTCTCTTAACTCGAGGGAATGGGTTCTATTATTGTTGTCATTTTCGGCATCATGAACCTATTTATAAAGCTTCATTTTATAGCAAGTACATATTACTCTAGTCTCATTCATATTCCTATTCTGTGTTGTTTGTTCAGGTAATGTGATAACATGCAGCAGTTTCTGACCAGAGAAGATGTCCAGCATTCTTAGCCATACTGGGGGTTTCTGACCAGAGAAGATGTCCAGCACTCTTGGCCAGACCATGGATTCTCCTAATCACACTAACATGGACCCCACTGTCTTTTTTCTCCTGGGAATTCCAGGTCTGGAACAATTCCACCTGTGGCTGTCCCTCCCAGTGTGTTGCCTGGGCACAGCGACAATTGTGGGCAACATAACCATCCTGGTTGTTGTTGCCACTGAGCCAGCCCTGCACAAGCCTGTGTACCTCTTCCTGTGCATGCTCTCCACCATCGACCTGGCTGCCTCCCTCTCCACTGTTCCCAAGCTACTGGCCATCCTCTGGTGTGGGGCTGGGCATATATCTGCCTCTGCCTGCCTGACTCAGATGTTCTTTATTCATGCCTTCTGCATGATGGAGTCCACGGTGCTGCTGGCCATGGCCTTTGATCGTTATGTCGCCATCTGCCACCCACTCCGCTATGCTACTATTCTCACAGATACCATCATTGCCCGCATTGGGGTGGTAGCTATGGTGAGAGGTTCCCTGCTTATGCTCCCTTGTCCCTTCCTCATTGGACGTTTGAGATTCTGCGAAAGCCATGTAATCCCACACACATATTGCGAGCACATGGCCGTGGTAAAGTTGGCCTGTGGAGATACTCGGCCTAACCGTGTGTACGGGCTGACAGCTGCACTGCTGGTCATTGGTGTTGACTTGTTCTGCATTGGGCTCTCCTATGCCCTCATTGCACAAGCTGTTCTTCGCCTGTCATCCCATGAAGCCCGGTCCAAGGCATTAGGGACCTGTGGATCCCACGTCTGTGTCATCCTCATCTCTTATACACCAGCCCTCTTCTCCTTTTTCACACACCGCTTTGGCCATCATGTCCCACTCCATATTCACATTCTTTTGGCCAATGTTTATCTGCTATTCCCACCTGCTCTTAATCCTGTAGTATATGGAGTTAAGACCAAAGAGATTCGTGAAAGAGTGGTGAAGGTATTTCAAAGGGGACAAGGAACTGGCATCAGGGCATCTGAGTGATCTAGGATTACAGATAGGTCATAGTTCAAATACAAAGAAGCTTTTAAAGCTTAAGAAATCCTCAGTATTTGAGATTGCGAAGAGATTTTTTTTGTTTGTTTCTGCCAAAGGGCTTGCATCCTCACTGAAGAGTGACAGAGAGAGTATCCCTCCCTCCCCCCAGGGGAATGTTCATGCTACAATTTCCTTCTCCTCCATTTCCTCTTGGGATTTTAGGCACACATGCACACATGCCTGACTTTTTTTTTTTTTTTTTTTTTTGAATTTTTTTCTTGACAGCAGTTAGTGTAATGGCTATGTTGCTGAATTAGTGTAATGGCTATGTTGCTGAACTCCCATGTAGTTGACCATGGTTTGAGTCCCAGACCTGATGGCTTAAACTCACACTGAGTGCATGTGCGTGCATGCCCAAGATGCTGAGAGGAGAATGGAGGAGAAGGAATTGTGGTGTGGCCATACCCCCTGGAGGACGATTTCTCATTTCTGTCTCTCTCTGCCTTTCTGGTGAGCACATACCCTATAGTAAAAACCTCTCAAAAAAAAAAAAAATTAAATTTGACCAGAGAATGACAGAGTAAGAGGGGGGAGGAGTAAGAAAACAAACTGTCAGGTCTAGGACTTGAACCAAGGATGGCCAGGTGGGAGTCCAGTGTCCTTAACCACCATGCCATCTGCTGTCCCCAACCTGACCTGATTTTTAAGCCACTGGGTCTGGGACTTAGTTGGTCAAGTGTGAATTCAGTGCCTTAACTACCACACCACTTGTTGGCCCACTGGAAAGAGATTTTAAATGGGGGCTAAGGCACTTCCTCTTGCTAGCTTTTGTCCCCATCTCTGTTTCTCTGTCTCTTGTTGGTAAACACATACACCATCTGGCACATTAAAAAAACAACAAAAACTGACTCAGACTCTGTCTCTTTTTTCTTAGGGAGTAGCAGATGAGAATTGTTTTGAACTGAGTCCATTGATTTCCAGTGTTTGCTGCAGATTTCATAACCATCTTCAGATTCCATTTTAGACATAACAATTGTGAGCCCTAGAGGAGAGGGTTAATGGGCAAAGAATAGTTGGTAGAAAACCTCTACACTGAAACACAGAGGAAAAAAAAATGACAAAAGAATCAACAGGAAACATGAAAAATGTGAGACACAGATGACAATTTGCATATTTGTGGTTGGATTTCTGGAAGGGGAAGACAGGAAAAAAATGAGGCAAAATAAATAGTTTAGAAAATGACAAAATGGGACCGAGCGGTTGTAAAGGTTAAGTTGGATCCCATATTGCTCACTGCACAGCTCAAGTCTTGGACTCAGCAGCGTGAAAATCACACTAGGCATGTGTAGGTGCCCAAAATCCTGACAGGAAAATGGAAGAGAAAGGATTTGTGGCATGTCCAGCCTCCCCATCACACACACACCCTGTGTGGGGCATGATTTCTCACTTTTCTTCTCTCTCCATCTCTCTTTAGAGAGTGCATGTTCCCTCTGGCAAATTAAAAAGAAAATTGACAAAAATGTTTTAAACTCATTAATTCATAGATACAAACCTTTAAATGTTAAAAACAAAGGAAATCCATATTAGACATGTTATAATTGAACTGCTGAAAATCAAAGACAAATAGAATAATGTTTAAAAGCACCAGGAAATGTGCATGGGACTGTCAAAGACTAAAGACTGAATTTTGGGCGTAAAAACTAGTCACTCTAGAAATATTTCCCAGCCTTTATAGGCCAAGTTTGGTGTTATGAATGAAGTTTTTTTTTTTTTAATCCCTGTACATTTTTATGTAAGTTTTCAGTTACATTAACAGGAAACATGCCTCTAAATTAATTTCCTTTCTACTCTTCTGGGGTTTAACATCTTAGGAATTCAGCTTTCTCTATGGACCTTTCTCTCATGTCTCCTAGCAAAATCTATTATCCTTATATCACTGAACTACACACTACTCCTCATAAATTCTGGAATTTTATCATTTCTGTGCCATTTCTTAGCTGAAAACATATCTTCATCTCATTGAAAAGCTTCTTTCTCTAAAAGTTCTGTCCCTGCCTGTTAGGAAAGTCAGTCATTGCTAGGACCTCAGACCGAGTTTCTGCCCATGACCACAGTAAGTACTAATACCCTACCATGGTCACATTGAATAAATCCCAGAGCATTTGTTACCTCCTCCTAAACTTTGTTTTTGCAACATCTTGCAAAAGAGATTAACCCCTCTCTTTACCCTGGCAAGATATAGGAGCTTAGAGAGACCTTGCCAATGAGGCCGAAGCTAGAATTAGAAACTATCAGGATTACATGCTTCACTAGAGATTACCTTGTCTATGAACAAGCTGCCAGGTTACTTTAGGATTAATATATTAACTTTTTTACATAGCAAAACAACATAGTATGTCATGCTGTGATCTAATTGTTTAAAAAGAATATAAAAACAATTTTTCTTCTGAGAGCTCAAACTTACTCTTCCTCTTCACTGTTTCAAACATATATTCAATCAGGGAAACACACTTAAAGAAAATAGAGAAAACGTCAAAGATAGACTGCATGCTATGAGCATGTAAAGGCTCTCTTTTCTTTTCTTTTCTGTATTTAACGGCACTAAAATAAAAAGCAAACTCATAACTTATATAATTAAATTGTCAACATTCTACTTCACTAAAATTTGATCCATTATTTTCCAGATTTTTCCCTTGCTCATAAACATATGATAGCTTCCTCTATAGCAAAAAATATTGATAATACAATCTCAGCACTTCTGCAGTTTTCAAAGCAAGTTGGCCTCAGCAGACAAGCCCACAGATGTTCCTACAGGCACCTACCCAGTGTGTCCTTGTGAAACCCAGTGCACTGAGCTAGAAAACAAGTCCAAGCAGCAAACTAACCCCTTCCCTACCAACCCTTTCAGCAGCAACCTGGAGAAGACCTTTGAAATTGAACTTTAAGCAGTCGTATGGTTTGTGTATCTTGTTCATACTTAGGAAAAGGTCAAGGGGATTTCAAAGAAGAAAAGGGGACTAGCCATTTCTGATCAGTTTTTACTGTCTCAGAGGTTTCAAGGAACAGGTAGTCCAGGCATAACCGATTTTGAAAGAAGTGGGGAAAATCACTCCTAGAAACAGCTGTCTTGCATATTAGCTAAACAAGTCAAGAAAATGTTATCCTCTTTACCTCTCCTCACCCATTTACAAATCTCTGGCAACAGAGAGGCAGAAATATCTGAACAGGAATCTGAATTTGAAGCACATATACTGGAATATAAAACACAATGAAAAGCAAAATTATTTGCTTTTCTTTTTTTTATTTTAGTGTATTTTATACATTCAATCACATGTTACTTAGCTTGCAAAGTGAATATTCCAACATGTGTACATTTCTCACCAGTCCAGTTAACAATACTATAAAGTTATCTTCAATAGATAATAACTCATTTCTTTGTCCTGTAAATGATTTGCCTCTCTGTTTTTCTCCTTAATGTCCTTCATACTCTACTCCTTCACCCACACTCTTCCCACAATGGGAACAATTCACTATGTTTCTATATCCTTTAGTCATTCAGTTTCAGCCATAGAGTGCAGACAGTATATATTAAGTGGAGACATACAATGTCTCTCCTACATAGCTTGGCTTGCTTCATTCAGCAGCAAATCTTCCTTATTCATCCACTTTTGGTCAAAAGCCAGGGTTTTTCTTTTGTGACTGAGTACTATTCCATAGAGTATATGTGTCACACTTTTTCTATTCATCTGTTCGTGGGCATTAGGCCATTCACCTGCCTCCTTTCAGTACTTGCCTGTCTTAGAGATCAGGAAGAGTAATCTTGAATCAGGCTGAGACTTTTGGGAGGGCACACTAGCATTCACCTAGCAGAGCTATATTTTGGGAGTAATACTTAACTTCCACTTTGAGTAAAAGAATAAATATAACTATTTATAAAAATGTCAACATCTTCACTTTTATGCATTTAGACTATTTTAGGTAGTTCTCAATATTAAAAAGTTGTGTAAGTTGTAAGTAATCTTGCCAAGTTAAATGGGTTAGTTGTAAAAAAATTGTACATAAGATTGATTTATCACTGATTTCTATTGGAGGAAAATTTGGAAGTGTCTGATGGGATCCCTAGCTTGTCCACTTCATTGTAAATAGCACATTGTAGCAACAATCATGCATATGACCAGTACAGTAACTAAAATAAAAAAATGAGAGAGTGGTAATGTCCTTGGTTTTAAACCTATGTTAAAATTCGAATGCCATTATTTTAATGGAATCAATCTAAATATTCTGTGTAGAGAACGTGTATTATTTTTTACACACAGCTGCAATTTCCTTGTTAATCCTTTACTTTGTTTTAACACGAAAGTGACAATGACAATGATCATGTCCATGGAAGGGAACAAAGGTTACGGTGGGTCTTTGTGGATTTTGCTTTGTCCTTTAAGTTTTGTTCTCACAAATTTTGCTGGAATGAGGGATTTCTGGTTTTATTAGCCTTGTCTGTACCCCCCACTCCTCTGGGTGAGTAGATCATCCCAAAGCCAGTAGCAGCTATGTGAGATTCCAACTCATTTTTACTTTTGAATGTTGGCCTTTCTTACATTTGATTAAATATAAGTTATACATATTTGTACTGATGAGAATTTATCATCTGCTTTAACAAGAAAAAATGTTCATGGTGGAAAAAATATTGATAATACAATGCCTTGTAAAATCAGTAATTTTAATACAGAGTAAGTTCCATTTTTTAATCTGAAGTACAGCTTACAAGGAAATGAAAATAAAGGGATGATCCTCAATTGGATTGGAATCATATCAAAGAATGCCTTATGCACAGTAAAGGCGAGTAGACTTTATTTGAAAGAAAGTGTGAAGAAACAAATGACTTGAAACCTAGGAAAACAAACTTCAGAAAGATCAGATTGCAGGTAGAATGGATGAAGTGTGGAGAAATGAAAAACTGGTGTGATCATGCAGGTTAAAAAGGCATAGACTGGAGGAGGTGGGGAGCATAGTACGAGTGAAGCACAGGACATGCATGAACAGGATATGGAAGCAATCCGTGGAAAGGGCAGACTTTTTGCCAGTTTTAGACTTGGCTGATTGGATAATTATGCAAATAGTCCGAGAAACATAGCAAACCTAATTCTGAGCATGTTTCTGACATTTCACAACAGTTCCTTCAATGTTACAGACAAATCATTTTTGTTTACTAAATAAATAAAACTACTGTTTAATTAGGATACAGTTTCAGTTACGAATAGGAATACCATTTAGAGATCAGCTGTGCACCATCTGGGCATCCAAGGTTAATATACAGTATTAGGCATGTGAAGATTCACAGAGGGTCACATATGAAATGTGTTTTTGCCATGATAGTAATTTTAGAGGCCGTTGTTACTTGTACCTAAATTCTGTATTTATGTATCTTTAAAGGTTCTCTAGGATTCAATTTGAAAAACAAAAAACAAACTTGCTAAGTATATCTCCATTATTTGGCTCCTTTTGAAAATACCAGCTTGGTTCACTTAACTTTCTTTAAAGGAATCTTTTCCAATCTCCTCAAGAGTGCTCACAAGGTAGAATGTCAAGAAAAATTCTCTGTTCCCCCAAATTGCAACTTGGTTTATTTTAGCAAACCTTTGAAAGACCATGATAAGAATTTTTTTGAAAGGCTATGCGAAACATCAAAGGGCATGCATATCACTTTGGAATAGGCAACTATAAAATTTCATCCCCCATACTTTTGTATTGAAACACAAATCTAGCTATTACTAGTAAGTAAACATCTGAGACAAGCAACATTGACACAAATATGAAGAAAAGAAGCAAAATTACTTGATTCCATCTATTTCTTTTTTTTTTTTTTTTTCTTTTTGGAGAGGTTTTTCGCTATAGGGCGCGTGCACTTGCCAGACAGACAGAGAGAGACCTAGAGACAGAAAGCAAGAAATCACCCCCCAGGGGGGTTGGTCACGCTGCAATCCCTTCTCCTCCATTCTCCTCTCGGGATCTTGGGCACGTATGCACATGCGCCCGGCGTGAGTTTTAAGCCACTGGGTCCGGGACTCGAACCGCAGTCGACTATGTGGGAGTCCAGCGACATAGCCATTACATTAACTGCTTGTTCCATCCATCTATTTCTGAAGAGACAAAGAAAGCTTGAGAAAAAAAAAATTGAATTCTGTTTACATAGTGGCTTCAACCTGAGATAACTGAAGACTATACATGGTGCCTTGATTCATGCTGAAAATATCTGTATAACTATTAAATTGATCTGGGCTGAAAAACTCTGGAATTTTCTTATAATTTATCTTAAATTACTATGAGAGATGACCTTAGAATTTATTTTGTTATAGTACCAAACTATACTACGTGAAGAGGGTTTTTAAATAATGTTTCGTGATAATGATGATCAGAGAAAACAACTTTGAAAAAAACTTTTTTCTCATAGGAAAATATGTCCACATCTCTCAAAGACTCCAATAGCTCGAAATTCCAGGTCTCTGAGTTCATTCTACTGGGATTCCCAGGCATCCACAGCTGGCAGCACTGGCTGTCCTTGCCACTGGCACTACTCTATCTCTCAGCAATTGGTGCAAACATCCTCATCCTCATCACCATCTGCCAGGACCCTTCTCTGCAGCAGCCCATGTACCTGTTCCTAGGCATCCTCTCTGTGGTGGACATGGGCCTGGCCACCACCATCATGCCCAAGATCCTAGCTCTCCTCTGGTTTGATGCCAAGGTCATTAGCCTCCCTGAGTGTTTTGCTCAGATTTATGCCATTCACTGCTTTGTTGGCATGGAGTCTGGCATCTTCCTCTGCATGGCTTTTGACAGATATGTAGCTATTTGTCACCCTCTTCGCTACCCATCAATTGTCACCAATTCCTTAATCTGTAGAGCTACCCTGTTCATGGTGCTTAGAAATGGCTTGTGCGTCATTCCAGTGCCTGTGCTTGCATCTCAACGCAGTTACTGCTCCAAGAATGAAATTGACCATTGTCTGTGCTCTAACCTTGGGGTGACGAGCCTGGCTTGTGATGACAGGAGACCAAACAGCATTTGCCAGCTGGTCCTTGCATGGGTTGGAATGGGGAGTGATCTCAGTCTTATTATATTGTCGTATACTTTGATTCTGCGTTCAGTCCTCAGACTGAAGTCAGCTGAAGCTGCATCCAAGGCTCTGAGCACTTGTAGCTCGCATCTCATCCTCATCCTCTTCTACACTGCTGTAGTAGTGGTTTCAGTAACTCACCTGGCCGAGACAAGGGCTCCCTTGATTCCAGTTTTACTCAATGTGCTGCACAACATCATCCCCCCTTCCCTGAACCCTATGGTTTATGCCCTGAGGACCAAAGAACTTCGGGCAGGTTTTCAAAAGTTGTTTGATTTGGGCTTACACAAGAAATAAGACATGGGAAACTCCCTATGTGATGTACATGTACTTCTGCTGCTGCTGCTGCTTCTTTTTTTTTTTTTTTTTTTTGGAGGTTTTTGTTATAGGTGCATGGCGGGTGCATGCACTCGCCAGGAAGAGAGAGAGAGACAGAGAGACAGAAAGCGAGAAATCACCCCCTGGGGGGATGGCCACGCCGCAATCCCTTCTCCTCCATTGTTCTCTCGGGATCTTGGGCACGCATGCACACGCGCCCGTCGTGATTTGAAGCCACCGGGTCCAGGAACGTGAACCGCGGTCGACTACATAGGAGTCCAGCGACATAGCCTTTACACTAACTGCTGGTCCCAACTTCAGCTTCTTCTAAACTGTGTAGCAGAATTTCAAAGAAGAAAGAGAAAGTGATTGCATTTGACATTCCACTTTTATGTTTTTATATAAAAGTAGGAAAGTTTCTGTAATAAAAAATTAAAAAAACAAAACCTTCTTAGACACTCCAAAACAAACACACACACACACACACACACACATACATATATATATATACACACACACACACACACACACACACACACGGGTGGACATGAAAGGAATTTCTACTATAATTATTAAGTGGGTCAGCAGAATTGATTATTTATATTCATCTACTATACTAGAAAGGAATATAATCATAAGCACATGTGTGTACACATACACACGCTCAAAAAAACTAGTGATGGGTACAAGAATCATGGATCTTGGATCATGCCTGGACATTGTTAACTGTAATGTGGGAACAGAGTCAGTCTCCCTGAACAAGTATCACCCTATAATAAGGGATACAGAGACAGAAATAGAAAATATTTCAGATGAGTGAGGTTAAAATAGACAATGATGGAGTTTTAGGTAGTACAAGAAGAGGTGAGCCAGCTCAGAAAAATAGGACTCAAAAGATGCATGTGGCTACAATGATCTGATTCTTATTCATTGACCTCTCCAAATTGGCTCTCTGCTTTTTCTGCATTGCTCTGTACCCTTCATGGTTGATTTCAATATACTTAAAACTCAACTTCCTTAATCTTTGAGCATTCTGAAGGGTTGAGTCAATGGGATGGACTGGTAAGAGATTAGAATTCAAAAAAGAGAGAATTGAGTTAGTTACTCTTCTACTCCCAGCCTGCTTTGATATCAGGCTTCTGAATGGCTATGCCCTTTATTTTTAAAATTTCTTTTATTTATTTATTTATTTAACATTCAATCACTTTATATTATTAGAGCATACCAATTGAATTTTCCAATCCTGAATACGCACTGTACATTAGTTTAATCAAAGATATTACCATAAATTTTACCATCTACAGATATTCCATTTTTGTGTCCCTTAAATGTTTTACTTGTTTCTTTTTAGCACCTGACAGGTGATCTGTATGCTATGGCGACAGTTCTGATGGCTATTCAGTGACACTTTGTTTTTCTTTTGTTTCCTTTTCACACCAAGAGAGCGAACAAAAGCTTCCTGCTACTCGCCTCTGGGTGCCCATCACCCATAATTTTTTTCACTATCCCTTTTCATTTCTTTAACCCATGTGCCACTCTACTAGTAGAAACTTCATTAAATTCTCCTTAGACTCACACTTGTGTGTTCCTTTTGTTTTCTGCTGAAATAAAACTTCAGCAGTTCACTAGTTTTATTTATACTGTCCCCATCTCTACCATAATGACTCTTCCACTATAGCTGTGATAGACATAAGAAGATGCAGGTAAACAATCTTTTATAAAAAGTTCATTTTCTTCTTCATCTTCTGTTTCTGGAAATTTATATATTTTAATTTTATGTTCTTGAATTTCTTTTATTATTTGTTTTATAAACTGTTGGGCACTCCTCCAGTGTGAGTGTGTCTACTTTGGCAATAAATGAGATATTCATTTTTTATGTAAATGCTTCATAAACTCAATATCCAATAGCTTAGGTCCATGACCTGAAGGAGGGATGAAGTATATAAATAACACTACACCTTGCTATCTGGCATCTGACTGCAGTTGACTCATGACTGCACTTAGGTAGTCCTCAAGTTTACTATCAATGTAGTCAATAACAGGCTGCCAGCAGCTGCATCTCCAAATCCTGAGGTGTCCACTGTCATGAACAGCAACTGAACCCCACCTTCTTAGATTAACATTTTGGACTGTTCTTCCTGTATAGAGTTTTTTATTCTGTGGGAAGGACCTGGACACTCTGGAGAATACTAATCTATGTATGAAGAATAGTGAGTTGATTAATGTTTACTTTCCCAATCCAGATTCACCTACTACCATAGTATGAACTCAAACCCTTCATTGACTTCCTGTACACTTGATTTGGGAGACTGGCGAATCTCACATAGCCTTCAAGGTTCTTCTGTAGGGTTACTTTGTAAAGAACCCATTTCCATCATTCTAGTGCTCTGGATTCCAACAGAACAAATCCACAGAAGAACACAAAATGAGGAATTCCAAGAATTATATAGTTGCAAGTCTTGCTTGGAGAAAAGGACATTCTCGGTAAACATTAAATAACAAATACAAAAACATTATATATGCACAAAAGAAATTCAGAATATGAATCAATAGTTGAGTGGATTAGATCAGCAGGTGGTATAGTGGTTAAGGCACTGGACATTCCCACATGGCTGACCATAGCGCGAGTCCCAGACCTGGTGACTTGCTTTCTTACTTTCTCTCTTTCTCTCTGTGTCTCTCTCTTGTCAAATTTAAAAATGAATGAATAAATAAATAAAATTAAAAAAATAGTTGAATGGATAAAACATTTTTAATTTAAAAACTTTTATTTATATCCTATAGAGTGGTTAAAAAGAGGAATACACAAATCTGCTATACTTATTCAGTAATACCTTTCATTAAAATCACATGCATTTATTTTCACACTGATTACTGTGTCCTTCGCAGTGCAGAAACTTCTTAATATGACACAATACCACTTGTCTATTTTGGGGATTATTGACTGTGCTTTGAGAGTCTTACTTAATGAGTCTTTGTTATGCCAATATCTCTCAGAGTTTCTCCAGTGTTTTCCAGCAGTAATTTTATGGTTTGAGGTCTTAGGTTTAGATCTTTGATCCACTGTGAATTGATTTTTGTCAATGGTGAGAGGTAGGGGTTCAGATTCATCTTTCTGCAAGTGAATATCCAGTTTTTCTAGCACCATTTACTAGAGAGGTTTTCCTTTTCCCAATGGATTGACTGGTACCTTTTGTCAAATATCAGTTGGCTGTATGCTTGGGAGTTTATTTCTGGGGTCTCTATTCTGTTCCATTGGTCCACCTGTCTGTTTCTGTGCCAATATCATGCTGTCTGATTACCACAGCTTTGGGAAAATATTTTTGTAAACTATGTGTCAGATAAGGGACCAATAACCAGAATACACAGGGAACTCAATTAGCTGTCCTGAAAAAAGATGATCAACCCTTTTAAAAGATGGGATAATTAGTTGAAAAAAAAAATAAAAACCACTCTCTAAGGAAGACATGTGAATAGCCAAAAGCATATGAAAAAATGCTCAACATCTCTCATTATAAGGGAGATCCAGATCAAAACCACAATCAGAGCTGCCAGTAGTTGGCATAATGTCTATGTCGCTGGACTCCCACATAGTCGACCATGGTTCACGTCCCGGACCTGGTGGCTTAAAACTCACGCTGGGTGCGTGTACGTGTGTGCCCAAGATCCTGAGAGGAGAATGGAGGAGAAGGGATTGCAGCATGGCCGTACCCCTGGTGAGTGATTTCTCACTTTCTGTCTCTCTGTCTTTATCTGTCTTTCTGGCAAGCGCATGCAATAAAAGAAAAGTTGCAGGGCCAGATGACAGTGCAGTGGTGACCCACTGGATACACATGGAAAGATCACAGGTCTGCATCTTTGGACCTCCCTGAACATACCAGGTACATATGTGTACTGTGATTTGTGTTGTCTGAGTCTGTTGGTGGATCATGGCATGGGAACTCTGTTAGAGGTCCCTGTCTGTGTCTTTCTCATAGAAGAAATAAATGAATACACTTTTCATTATTTTTAAAAATTTTGTCAGAGAATGTGATTTCTAGAGAGAGAGAGAGGGAAAAAGAGAAAAAGAAAGCATCCTTCATGGGGCACAATTCCACTGGAATCCTTTGCTCTTCAGTTCATTATCCTGTTGGGATTTGGGGAATGCATGCATACAAGCTCAGGGTGTTTCTCAGATCATCAGGTCTGGTGCTCAAACCATAGTCAGCCTTGTGAGATCTAACTGCCTTCACTATGAGGCCATGGATCCAGCCCCTAAATGAATAAACTTAAAAATATATATATATATCAAATTAATAAGCTTAGCTCCTGGGCTTAGCTCAGTGATGCAGTAGTACTGCAATGTTCTGTAATGTTGGAAAGCATATGGAAGATCGGGGTTCAGTTTCTAGGGTGATTGTACATGCTGGAAACATGTGTGCCCATGATCCTAGAAGACTGAAAGGCAGGGGAGGGATTGTGGTGTGAGACCCTCTTGACAGTGTTTGACTAACACTCTCT